GTCCCAATGATTAAAATATTATGTGAATAACATGACTCAGGCATGTCTGGACATCTTAGAAATAAAAAGATAGTAATACTCATCCAAAGAAATTACCGTTGGTCTGGGTTAGTTAATGATGTCAGGAAGTACCTGGCATGATGTGAGTTTTGTTAGTGTACTAAGACTAGGAGGGGCAGGGGAGGATACCCCAGTGGTGAAATAAGGACCTCTACCACTGCCTCCCTGAGTTCAATCCTGGTAATGAACTTTGGGTAGGGGACAATTATTACTGTGTTTGAGTTGCGCACCAATGCCCCAAACCAAGATAGCGAATAGCAAAAAGGCGGTCCATGGAGTTCTTGGCCTATCATGAGCTGCGCATGGAGGTTTTCTGTGTTTTATCTTCCTTTCCCATTTTCTTCACTTCCCCTCATTGGTGCGGTATTGTCCTCAGGTTGGCCCACCTTGAATAAATTTTAAAAAAGATTAGGAGGGGCATCCTTAAGGTCAGTTAGAATTTATTAAAGTTCTCTCAGATCCTTGGGAGTCAATTTCTATAGATTTTATAGTTGAGTTGCCCCAGTCTCAGAGGTATAATGCAGCATTGGTGATAGTTGAATGGCTCACAAAAATGGTTCACTTCATTCCTAAGACCACCAATGTCACAGCAAAAGAAACAGTCCAGCTATTACAAAAAAAGCCTTCTTGTATCATGGAATACCCAAGGAATTTATTCTGATAGAGGTTCACAGTTCACTTCAGAATTTGGAAGCAGGTTAAAAAAGCTCTGGAATTAAGAGATACCTGTCTACTGCATATCACCCCAATACAGATGAACAAACTGAGCGGGTCAATCAGGTGCTGTAGCAATACCTGAGGGGTTACGTGAATGCTGACTAGAATATTTAAATCAAGCTGTTACTAATGCCACAGTTCTGCTACAACAACATAGACCACTACTTCATTGGAACGTAACCATTTAAAGCTAACTAAAGTCATAATGTGACTTAGAATTCGCTGCCAAGTAATGAAGCTGATAACCCATCAGCAAGCTTCTCTGAAGGATATCTACCAGACCCATGAACTATGTCTAGTAAACTTAACTTGAGCAGTGAAGACTTACAAGCATTTCAGATAAAAAATAGAATCCGGGAAGACATTGGAAGTTGGAAGTAAGTTTTATCTGGATGAATGCGATGTTCCTTAGGATGTACTATGCTGGAAACTTGCCCATTGGCGTGTAGGATAATATCTAATAAAGAAGGTCATTGGGAAGGTTGCCTACCGAGTCGCTCTACTTGAAGGATAAAAGATCATGATGTTTTTCATTAATCAATCATGTATAATAAGGATGGTATTCCTTATTACATCAGAAACTTAAAAGCTCCCCCTCTAATTGATGGTCCATGTTCTTAGTATGAGGTAGAGGCATCAATGGCAGACGTAAGAATTGTGTAAAGTGAAATTTCTGGTTAAGAAGGCTGGATATGCCGTAGAATAAAAACACTTGAGGGCCTAAGGAGAACTTAAAGAATGCATACAAGCTGTTGAAGACATGGAAGAAGAAGGCCTAGCAGGTAGCTTCAGCCCTGGTGGGAATAATGTCAGAGTAAAGCCTGACATAAGTTGGATTACTAGATTACAAATATTATATCCGCCAGATCAAGAAGATATGTGTTAATTTAGGTCTATTACTTGCATACCAAACCATAATTGCAGTAAGATTAGTTCTTTAATCGCTTAATTTTACTTTTATTATGATGATATTAAATAAACCAATTGTAAAAAACGTATTTTCAATGATATTGAGCTTGTAAGACAACTGATGTTCTAAGAAAAGACTTGTCCTCCATCAGGGGGTAATCCGCCACCTATGATAGGATTTAAAGTCCACAAGGCATCGCCAAAATAATAATATGTGAATAAGAACAACACAAGGATAGATGCAGAAATTATTAGTCTAACAACATCATTCTTGCTATGATTACTAAGCTGAGTGCTGGTATTAATATTGACCACGATTAGAGTATGGTTAAACTGCCACTGTCAGCAAGAGGGGATTGTTCTATTCATCCAAGATTTGCATTCAGGGTCATACTCCTGACTCATTTGGATACAAGTTTGATAATGTGCAGTAACAGTTGTTTAATAAGGTTTGATCCCAACAGTTTTGCTTTGAGTAGCATCCATCAAATTGACATCCCATTTCCTCCATGATCAGGGTTGATTGGATTGAGTGATGGGTCGATCTGCATCCTTAGCTTACCTTTGTCCATACTCCTGATTCTTTTGAATGTGCACTTGGTACTGAGGGGTATAAATTCTTTTTCAGGTTTAATACTATCGATGTCTCCCCATGTAGTGACCACTGAATTATCATTTTTATTTTCTTTATAATTATGACATATTAAATTGAGAGGTTGGTTATTAAACTCATTTTGATACTCTCAATATTCATTATTATGAACAGGAGAATTATGGGAAACTTGTAGGGTACAACTTTTAAGATTTTCCGCACTGAGAATGGCAATCTCTGATATAACCAATGATACAGACATGATCATTAATGATACAAATGAGTGAGGACCCTCTATTGGTTGTAGTGATTCCCTTGGGACATCCAGACTAGTTAATATATTACAAAAAAATAAGAAATTCTAGCAAATTTAAAGTTTTATAAAGGATATGACAATATAACCCAGCACTCTACCATCCTAAGAGCACTGTGTTTTTATATTTGAAGGGAAAAGAGGGGTAGTTACTGTGAAATGTTTTTTACAACAGGAACACAAACATTTGAGCATCAAATTGCTTAATAAGTTGAGGCAATAAACACCACTGGTCTCATAAATGAAGAAAACCCAAAACTATACCTCAATATGCCACATATCGCTGATGCTTCTACACAAATGTTGTCAACCATGATCTGCCAGCTAAAGTGGGACCGGACAAAAGTCTCCACAAAGCTTCTTTACCTTCTTATATGGCTTCCTAGGACTTTGGCTGAGGTGCCATATTGGGATATTTTTAATTTATGATGATCCCTTTGTTTAGCTTATTTACAAATAAAGATGCGTGGTGGCTCCCCATTTTAGGTTGGGCACCACTAGTGAAAAAAGGATGCACGAATATTCTCAAAGATGCTGGGTTTTTTGCTCATGGATCAGCATAGACATTTTGGGTGCCTCAATTTGCGGTTCATGTTTCTGAAATTTCACTTCTGTCAGGATTCCATCATGCCATCATATCTAACAATTTTCTAAAAAAAATTTCTTTATCCTCTGATGGATCTTTTCAAGGTTGATTTCTGGGCTAGCATTCCTGTCAGGACTTCAGTCTTGATTCACCCAATCATACTTAGGTTTTGTTGCATATTTTTCTATTTTTATGATATAGGCTTTGGCTGAATTGATTTCATTAAAAATCAACCCCTTCCACTATTTAAGTTGTTGTTAAATCAAGATGAGGGGGCTCAGTAGAAACCCACTGCTTGTCAAGGGTGTGCCCTAAATTAGGTATTTTTAAAAGAAGGGCTCAGGAACATTCCCCTTCTTTGATAAGGGGTGAATCAACCAAACAATTTTATGGGTGAAGCTGGGGTCCTTACAGAGGTGGTCCCTAATAACTTTAAATCATATGTAAGGAGCAACTATAGAAGCTCAGAAGAAGAAGAATACTATGTCCAAAAATCAACTAAGTTTAGGTTAGTCCAGGAAGCTGGGTGAGATATATAACTAAGACATTCATATGTTTTATCTTTGTGGTCAATAAATGTATTTTTATACTATGAAAATCTTCTTAAAGATATTTAATAAAGAGTTATTAATTCTGATCTACCACACCAACCTACAAGAGACTCTTTTCCACCTTTACCCTCTTAAAATCATATCTGTAGGCAACTACCATACCAAAATACCCAACATTTCTTATATCTGGGCGCCTCTAGTGTCCTTGTCATACTGGATCAAAACCCTTGAATATGCTAGCTCATGGTTAGCTACCACCAGCCAGCTCAGTAATATACCAGTCCCTGACATATATCAGAAGGGGAAAGTAGGTTGAGGACTATTTGTTTGGCATATAACTGAGGACATATGTCATGTTAGACAAATGGAAGTGGTGAAATCATCAGTATGTTGAGAGGGTAGAATGAAGTCATATTATCCTCATTAATTAAGCATGCTGTGTGCATTGCCTCAACACACTAGCCAATCTGAAGCTCAGTATATTTTATGTGTTCTGTGATACAGAAATTTTTTTGAATTATTGACATGCTTGAAGTAGTTGGGGTTAACCATTGCCATCTTGATGGCATTGGAGCACATGTAACACGTGGCAACTTTGAAGTTTACAATGTCATCTTGGACTTATCCAAGATTCTTATGGTAAAATAGGATAAGGTTCCATTGACAATTGGCTCCATAGCTACATAGAGAGCTTAGTAGATGGGGGAATGTTGGTGGGGTGGCAGCTGCCTCAACAATGAGCTAATAATGTGGTCCAATATGCCATAAAGCCTGGGCAATGGCAGATATGGAATGGAGTAGTAGGTCTAGGAAGCCAAAATAATTCTGGAAATCAAACTTGAGCTCGTGAGAAAAGGTTTGCCTTTATCTCAATGACTTATTTAAGAGAATTGTATGGGTTGAAAATGGGTAAACACATGCTAGTTACAGAATTTGATTGGTTATATACTGGAGCAGAAGAACATTGAACCATTATTCAAGGTTGATTGACTTAGTACATAAGAAAATATTGACTACTGTACATTTAGTAAAGACATAACCTAATTTGATGCCACAGAAGGAGCTGCAGCTGCAGTGAGTGAGAGAGGGGGAAAGAGGATTGCCCTCAGGGATGGATTTTTTAAAAGGGATGATGATTCTAATAAAAAAGAAAAAGAATTGAAGTAAGATTTTAAAGCAAAAATAAAAAAGTAAAAGGAACAAAGTAAATGGAATTTAAACTTAATAAACAGTGAGAAGTTACACCTATATGACTATAGCGAAGAGAAAAAATGCTCACTACTGGGGTTGAACCTGTGACTTAGGCGTTATTAGCACCACACTCTCACCAACAGAGATAAGCGAGCTATTTATTGACTGATAAGTAATTCTTAGAATAATTACAATTAGTAAGCTATCAACAACAACCTATAGATATATTATATTCTTTAGTCCTACAACTAATATATAGAACACAGTATACTATTTTAATTTTAGGATGCGACTGAAGGATTTTAAAAATGCTTTGATAACAAGTGATGTGAAATTTTAAATACCTTGCATTAATACAAAATTATATCTTTATGTAATTTTTAAAAAATTCATTTTATTTTTTTCAGTAACTTACTGAATAGTCATGTACAAAAGCTCACCCTCTGATGTAGAATGTTAGGATATGTGGTTCCACTAGCCTTTATGAGGGCAGCTATGAACTAGCATAACTGAGGATTTAGGTCAAGTATGTCAAGGATGCTAAATGCTCTAAGGATAAGAACTGGAGTGTATATTAGTGAGAAATTTGATGTTATAATTGGTAATTTTACATAGTTTTCCTTAGTTTGTGACTTTTAAAGTCTCCTATGACAATGGTTGGAATCCCAATAGCTCTAACAAGTCTTGAATGCCAAGTTGTACTCTAGGGTAATTTAAAAAATCAAACATTTCAAAAATTTTAGTTAATTTATAATTTCATAATAAACTAGCTGGTGTCTCACTGAGATGGTGGGTTTTGTTAATCTCAAAAACATAAATAATTAACAATCTTTATATCTCTTGTTGGGCTACATTAGGAAGAACGCGCTCCTCTTTTCCTTACCTAAAATGCTAATTAGGCATTCAAAAAAGCCCATTCATATAAAAATTTAGTTTAAATTTATTTATTTTATATATATATAAATTTTTGCCTGGTATTTAATGGGATGCCAAGTCTTGGAATCTCACGATGGTATTGAATATCAATATATGTTGTCATAGCAGGAAAGACCAAGCCAACCAAAACTTATAGATACCTTAAAACCTTGCTATAAGGGACCCTATGAGGGTGTGAGGGTTTTAGCTCATCATTGCAGCTGTTGCAGGTGACTAAAGGCCATCTCAGCATGAATACCACTGCACCTTGGCTCAAGTTTTTTGAGGTTGGTTTAGCACCAATTGAATGCACCCCTGTGAAGCCTACCAGGCAACAAGGCCCAGTTTGGTATAATGCCTGCTGCATCATCATGTTAAGGCTAATTTTATGCACAAAAATTGATCATGAGCGACTTTTAAAAAACTCTCGTTATAGCAAAAATTATGAAATTTATTTTATAATACTGTTAATACCAAGTTAAGCTTTCACACGATCAGTGATAATTCCTTTGGATCAAGGAAACTCATAAGTAATATTTTGTCAGTTTTCTTAGATGGTTGTCAGACAATTCTCCTCTCAGCTTTGAGAGAAGAATGTTTTGGGTGACAATAGGCTGAAAGGGGGTAATGTCAGACCATTACAAGTATGATATTGGGATAAAAGCAATTTAAGCATAAATATTGATACTATTGGCCAAAAGCCCAAGTCTATTATTGGTGGAACCCTCAAATTGGGGTAACACTTTTGTTAATACCTCTCAGGCAAATAGCACAAATTTGGGCAGTTGGATTGAACTAACCATGCAGCGGAGTCAGGTGATTCCATCCAAGGTTCCTCTCAATTACATTAACAACTTTGTCAAACCACCTACGTGGGGACCACCCCCATTTATAGCCTCAGAGGGGGTCCCACCAGGTGTAAAATTTTCCCCTCATGGTGATTAATCAGATATTTCAAATCTTTGCCCAATGAATTTATTCTACCTGCAACCAATTTCCATAAGCCATTCCACAAAAGCAAGGCGAGTTTCCAGAGCTTTGATAGGTCAAATCCCCATGTTCCCTAATTTGGACATTACTAAGCTAATCCAAACTTAGCACTGATTTCCCTTTAAACCTCAATACTCTTTAAATATTAAGCGGTAGATATCAAGGTAGTTTGCTTTATTGAGATGCAACTAATAAAAAACCTCTAAAACCAATCTTTACTTTTATAAAAAAGTAGAAATTTTAGTTTGAAGTGTTTTGTGAAAAATGGCTGAATTCAGCACCAGCAAGCATAAAAATTGCTGGATTCCCACAATTGCAGTGGGACCATGGGAGTTCAAAATGTTTTACTTGTCCACATATAGGGCTTCTGGAAGGAGATGTGTTGTTGTGAGTTTCTGGGAGGTTGGGGTGGTATATCAGATTTGAAAAAAACTTTTTAATAAAATTGCATATAAAGTGCATAAACATATATATGAATGACCGCAGAGTTTTATCAATATATTATCTTAATTATAAAACTTTTACACTCCCTGGTCTTACTCAGTATAAAAATATCTATAAGTGGTATTATTATTACTCTTATGAGCTTATTGAATTACTAATTGCACATGTTTTTTGGGATAGTGTGCTTTTACTCATTTTATCTGCAATTATGTTTTGGTGCATGATCAAGCAACTTAATTTTATACATAAATGTTGTATTATTAACTTATCTCACTTTTAAGCATATTTCAATAGTAGTAAACTTTTTTTGAGCTACAGATGTTTTCTTATATCAGTTTTTGCCCTGTTACATAAACTACAATCATACACTAGATGATGACTGTAACAGGTACATACTTTTTGAAGACCATTCTGAATACATTTTATAGCAAAATCACAACTTATATGTAGTAATCATTTTACTTAATTGTTTAAACTTAGAGTTGAAGTATACACTTTTATTTTTTAAACTATTAAGAAGTTTATGAACTGTAATTAGAAGACCATGTGATAATAGTTTTTTCTCTAACTTAATTAAATTATAATTTACATAATAACTTAAACAAAAGTCATAGTATCTAAATTGTTTGCCTACTAAGTACTTATAGACATACCATAAATAAGTAATTTATTACCTCTTAGAGATCAAATTGATTTTCACTAAAAATTAGCTGGATAATACTGTCATTAAGCTATATATTTTCTTGATTAATAGACTTTTTATAATAGCATATATCATATTCCTTTCTATATTACAATAAAATAAATATAGAGTATAAAGTTTTTCTTCAAGTGTTATGCTACAGAAAATATAAAATTATCATTTTCAAATCTAATAATTAACTTACAATTATAGGTAAGGATCTACCCAAAAGTATAACAGCTATCTTTTTTAAGCTTTAAACCCAATTATTCCATAATGATAAAGCAATAGTAATATATTCTATTCAATAAATTAAGGTGGGTCTACCCTGGGACAGATATACCACACCAATTTGGGACAAGGAGTAGAGGTATAGAAAGGAAGGACAATTTATAAGTACTGGGAGTAAAATCTTACTGAACATGATATGATAGGCTGGATTATATAATCTAACTTCATTGATTCATTTGTCTGGACTGAGGCATGGTGTGCAACTTTACATGTATTTTCTATCCTCTTAGCACTAGCACAGATATTAACTTCTGCCACAAATTAATCTTGACCATAATTATGAGAGGTGATAGTTGGACGTTGTTCCTACTATGTTAGCTCTGCCCACTAGTATTATATTCCAATATGATAGAAATATTGCACGAATAAATTTTATTATCTTAATAGTTATAAAGAGTAGTTGTAAAAAAGGTCAAACATCATTTCTAGTGACCATTTTTAAAATAATTAGCACAAATTTGTTTTTTATCTTAATAAATACAAAACTTTTCTGGTTGATTTGTAAAATGATTAGTAGAATTCTTGTTATAACATCATTTCAGCACCATCACTTTGGCTATTGGCCTTAGTTGCTATTCCGCTGAACAATAAATTCACTAACTTTTCTAAATGGTTTCTTGTTCAGTTAGTTTGATTAATTTAATATGAAATATATATAAAGAGAAGTGTCCTGATTGATATATAAATGATATGCTTGGTAGAATACTACTTTCACATCATTTTTGCATCAGACTTTGGATCATGGTTTGGTTACACCCCAGTTGATGCATTAGATTTTGGATATCAGATTGGTTATTAATCAATTAATCTAATATATCAGTAGGTTTTAGTTAAGTGTTTAGTGGTTTTAAATTGATTCTATAGTTTTTAATGGTTTAGTCAAGAGTTGATGATCATTTGATCTGATAGGTTAATCTTTTTTAGTTAAGTAATTAGCGGTTTTTGATTGATCTGATTGATCCAATAATTTTACTATGCGGTTTGGGTGAACCTAGTTAAGAAATATGTTTAATTACTTCCTAAAATTATCAATAGCTACTTACTGATATAGAAGTTACACTAAGTTAGTTAAAAGCATTGTCTTAGATAATCAGTTAGTTATAATATTTAAAGCATAGATGATGTTGTTTATATATCAGCTAAGTTGTTATCAAGTTTAATAACTAATTTATAAGGCTAAAAACTTATTAAACCTATTGACAGACATCTACCAATATTGTTAGATCTCACTTGGGGTATTGACTCAATATTTGCTTTAATGATGAGATCCAGCAGTATATATACAAGGTAAAATTATAAAGTAATCTAGTAATATTAAAGACTAAAGTAGAACAATATTGATATTATAAGAAAAGTATAATTTATTTGATAACCTAATAAAAGCTTATATGGTAGTAATTACATAAAGACTTAATTAGGATTTAAAATAATATATGAAAGGCATGTATAATCTAAGGTGGCTTTTCCCATGTGATAAAATATTTAAATGAACATTGACTATATAATACTCTGGAGGTGTTTATGATGTTTTGATGGTTTTGTATAGCATGAATATTAGGTCTCTATTACAGATCTTATGTATATCTAATGAACATTACTGGTGCATCAATGCATACGTTTTGGATCTAGATAATAGTAAAATAATTTAAGTTAGTTAAAATTGCTATGAAAAGATATATTATAGTTTGAAAATAAATCTTATTTAAGGTAAGATGACCAGAGGATGGACATTACCAATACAAAATAACAACTGAAAAAACACAAAACAAAAGCCCCAAATGAGTGGCAAAAAACCAAAACAAAAAGGAAAATTAACCTACCAGGTGTAGCAGT